CCAGGATGTATTTATGGGGTTTCTTTTATATTTTCCTGCTGGATCTAAGGATATGTGCGTTTCAGTGGTTCTAGGGAAGCACAGCTATTAGCTCTTCAAATATTGGTCTCCTACATCTTTTCTGTATTACATAACCTGTAAAACTCCAATTGGGTATATGCCAATCCTCTTCATTCTATTCTACATATATTCACTTGATTTTTACCACCTTCTTATAGTTCCATGCTATAATTGTGTCTTTTATTTTGGCTCAATGTCCAGTTTATTCATTTTCTCTCCTGCAATAGCTAATCTGCTATATAATTCATACTTTGGATTTCAATTTCAAATACTATGTATTTTTATTTCTATAAGTTATATTTCTTTTTCAAATCTGCTTTGCTGTTCTTATAATGTGTTGCTTCTTGTTCGTATTTTCTAGCTACTCTTACTTGTTTCAACACAGTGAATGTAGTTATTATATATTGCCAGAAAATTCCAATATATTGAGGTTTTAAGATTCTAATTCTGCCCTCCATTGTTTCTGCAGACTCTTGCTCCATTGCAATCTGTGGTTTTGTTTTTGTTTTAACTGTGAGTTGCCCACCTTTTTCGAATACCTTTTTCTATGTGAGTTCTTTAAGGCCTAGAGTAAAGTTGAGTTCCTCCAAAGAGGATTCTTTTATATTTTTGCCTGTGGTGGTTATGTTTGTGTGTCAACTTGATAGGCCTGGTTGAGCGGTTGGGCAGCTGGATATAGTATACCCCATGATGAGACTGGTAATCAACTCCATGGTGGAATCTACTGTGAGAAGCTGAGTAGCTGCCTTTGGGTATGTGGTCTGCTTCCTATATATAAGCAGGAGCTTTGGGAATGGTCTCTAGCTTGTGGCATGCTTGGACCCTGCATGTAGCCATGTCGTTGTTCAGCAGCCTGCCATGCTCTGCTGACCTTGGGACTTACAATGGACTTAAATTAATGGCCTGCCATGTGGTTTGGTAACATCGGGACTGTGCCTTTTTACTTGTCAACCTTGGGCTTTGCAGCCTCAGCAGCCAGCAGCTGTCTGAGTGAAGAAAAGCCTCTAGTTTCAGTGGGCTGGGAGTTGGAGGGAGAGCTGAAGCCCAAGGCTGAGGGGCTTTCACCCAGTCCCTAGAGCCTGGCACTTTGAGCTTGGACTTCTAGCCTCCCGAACTGTAAGAGAATAAACTCCTGTTTGTTAAGACCAACCCATTTGTGGTATATTCTTGTCAGAGTGGCACTAGGTAACCAGAACACTGCCTATTTGCCAAGTGTAGGATCATTTACTTTTAAATTCTCTGCTTGAGTTTGTTGTTGTAGTTGTAGTTTACACCAAATTCATAGCATAGATATAGTTTATGAATCTAGCTAAAGAATTTTCACTTAAGTTTTATTCCCCTCTATCCATTGCCAAAGTTGACACTGGCAATTTTCCCACTGTCTTTTTCTGCACAGGCAGTTTATTTCTAATCCATCTCTATAGTTGGTCTCAAGATTTACACAGGGCACAGGGTTCTACTATGAGATTCCACCTGGATTAGACTCCAGGCATTGCCTGCTACTTTCCATGGTCCATGTAGCCCTTAAGGTAAAAGCTCAAGGTCTTCGGAGTTTAGCATAAACCATCAGAATAAAAGCTAGCACAGTCAGTTGCTTTAGGAGTCCTACATTTATTTTTGTTTTTGGACTCTGCAGATGCCTTCTTCTCATGCCAGTACAGTAGTTCACGTTATAAGAGTTGTAAAAAAAAAAAATTTCATAGAGAATTTTAGGGTTTTCAAATGAGAAGGCTATTTAGGGTAATTAATTTCCATACTGTGGCAAATAAAAATTCTCTAATTTGTTTTACTTCTGAGCAAGTTGACATTGAAAATATTCAGGAAAAAAATAGTTTATTTATTTTTTTCTAATAAGTCTCCATCAAAAGAGATTCTATAACCTCCCTATGTGATAGATCATCAAAATGGCCACACATTTTTTCCCCTTCGCCATTCACACCTTTGTAATGTGTTGCTGCAGATATGACTGTCAGAAGACAAAGTCTTTTTCCCTATAAACTTTAATCTGGGTTGGTTACTTGACTTGTTTGGTCAATGGACATTAACAAGTATGACACAACTCAAAGCTTGAAATGTAATTGCTTATTGAGGCTTGCTCTCTTATTACACTTGGAACTCTGAGATCATCATTTGAATGAATCCAAGCTAGCCAACTGGAAGATGAGAAGCCATGTGGAGGCACCTAGGCCAACAGCCAACCAATTATTGTCAGCTGACTTACCAGTTAAATGCATAACATCATGATGTGGCCAGTAGAGATCATCGGGGCCACCTCAGACCGGAAGAACTGTCTGGCCAAACTAACGAATTATAAGCTAAATAAACAATTCTTTTAAACTATTAAGTTTTGGTTTAAGCAAAAGGTAACTGATATACCCCCTTAAGAATATAATTTTGAATCATAACCCAAACCTTCTTGTAACAACTTTATTGTTTTTATCCTTTGTATCTGCTTACCATACTTATTCAATCTGTATGCTGAGCAAATAAGCCAAGAAGTTGGACTATGTGAAGAGCATGGCATCAGGATTGGAGGAAAACTCATTAACAACTTGTGATACGTAGATGACACAATCTCACTTGCTGAAGGCGAAGAAGACTTGAAGACTTACGGATTAAAATCAAAGACTATAGCCTTCAGTATTGATTACACCTCAACATAAAGAAAACAAAAATCCTCACAACTGGACCAATAAGCAACATTATGATAAAGTGAGAAAAGATTGAAGTTCTCAAGGATTTCATTTGTCAAGGATTTCATCTTACTTGGATCCACAATCAATGCCAGGGAAGCAGCAGTCAAGACATCAAACAATGAATTGCACTAGGCAAATCTACTGCAAAAGACCCCTTTAAAGTTTTAAAAGCAAAGATGTCACTTTGAGGACTAAGGTGCATCTGACCCAAGCCATGGTATTTTCAATTGCCTCATATGCATGCAAAAACCAGACAATGAATAATGAAGATAGAAGAACTGATGCATTTGAATTATGGTGTTGACAAAGAATATTGAATATATCATGAACTGGCAGATGAACAAACAGATCTGTCTTGGAAGACGTACAGCCAGAATGCTCCTTAGAAGTGAGGATGATGAGACTTCGTCTCACATACTATGGACCTTTTATTAGGTGGGACCAGTCCCTGGAGAAGGACATCATGCTTGGTAAAGTAGAGTGTCAGCAAAAAAGAGGAAGAATCCTAAGAAGATGGATTGACACAGTAGTTGCAACAATGGGCTCAAACACAGCAGCAAATGTGAGGATAGTGCAGGACCAAGCGGTGTTTCATTCTGTTGCACACAGGGTCGTTATGGGTTGGAGTAGACTTAATAGCACCTAACAACAACAGCATCCTTTGTCCCACTTCAATTCTGGAAACATAGAAATGGTGATTTGCTAAGATACCCATGCAAGTCAATTTGCACTAATGTTGCTGTTAGGTGTTGTCCAGTTGGCTTGGACTCATAGCAGCACTATGTACAACAGAACAAAACACTACTCAATCCTGTGTCAGGCTTACAATTCTTGCTATACCTGAGCCCACTGCTGCAGCCACTGTGTGGGCTTACAAATTCTCAATATAAAATTTAAATCACTGAAATTAAAATATATTCCATATATACTTACACAAACAAATTTGGGGAGATTAATAAATAATTTATTTTCTCAGTGCAGAGTACAGTTAGACAATGAGAAAAGAAGTGCAGGATTTTCTCAATGGCAGGGGAACTCAATCTCAGACAAATCAGACAGAGGTTAGAAGCAGTTACAAATATGAAAAGATGTAAGGGTTTCAATTGACCTTAAATTCAGTATCAGTCAGTGGTGTGAAGTGGATCTTCAAGAAGTCAATTCAATATTATTCACATTAATAGAAATGTCTGTTGTATTTGTCAGTCCTTGAGAACTTCAGTCTACTCTAGGCGTCAGGCTTTAAGAAGGATAATGACAAAAGTACAATGGGTTGGAGAGAAAGACTCTAGGAGGAAGACGCAAGCAGAAATCATTTCAGATGAGTCCCAGTTAAAGGAATTGCCATATAGTTTGGGGATGATTTGGCTACAAATATCCAAGGGGCAATCATAGGGAAAGGAAGTTACAAAGTGCTCTTCAAACTTTATAATGACATATCTAGAACTAACAGGTGGAAAGTATAGGTTTAGAAGTAACATTTTCTAAACCCACAGGGCAATCCAACATCAGTGGCTGCTCTGTGGAGTAGGGAAGCCTAGAAGAAGAGTTCAAGAAGTAGAGGCTGGAGAGGTATTTGTCAAGGACACAGTGGAAGGGAGTGTTGTTCCTCCTGGGCCAGAGGCCTCTCAGGGCTCTTTAAGCTGAATCCTTCTGGCTTCCTGGCTGCTACTTATCCTTCTTTACAAACTCCTAGCTGGGTTGTGTCTAAGACTCTATAAATAAACTATAGAGAAACTATAATGACTAGACGTAACTCAACATCCATCTGTTCTCAAATTATAAACCTTAGTAAAGTCAAGATGTATGTTCTCCCTTTTTAACCTTCATCTTGAGGATTGTCACACTGTTATAGAATAGGTACTCATCAAAGCCACACTAAATTTTAGCAAGAGTTTGCTCTTTCATTAGCTTTCAAATTGATTTATAGGTACAAGCCAGGAATCCTTTTAGATTTAAGAGTTTAGTTTGCAGGGTTGACTTTTTTTCCTTTGGGTCAGTCAGTACCTATCACTCTGAGATCACCAGATTCCCTCTCCCTCAGTATCTCAGTGGTTATCTCACTCTAATCGCCCTCTTCCCTCCACACTGCTTAAGGGAGAATTCTCATAAGAATGGGCTGAGCAAAGTCTCCTTAGGCCTTTAACTCCACTGCCTGTGTTTTTTCTTCCTGCCTCTGTGGTATTGTCCTGGGGTTAGAGCATGGCCAGTAATATGAGAAGATAGTTTCAAAATGGGACTTCCTACCTTGACAGGTGAAGCATCTGATGTGGAAGTGGTTGTTGTGGACGCGAACAACTTCCCCTTTGCATGTGTCTCCACACCGGTAGCACTGGATGACATTGGTGCTGCTCCGGGGATTATAAGGATTCTGCTGATAAGGTACTGCAGAAAGAAACAAAGAAATTAGCATCCAGAAGGGTCTACTTCTTTAAAACAATCAGTTAGCATAATCTTAAATGAATGAAAAAGCAGAAAGGGTAGAAATGATTAGCAAAGTACCATCAGACATTTTCAGGTTGAGTATGCCAAGCTAAGACTTCATTAACTGGTGTGTGGTATTAAAATGTGAGTCCATAACCTCCTCAAGCAGGCAGAAACTTGTGAATGGGTATAATCTTTCTTGCAACAATAGAGAGCAAATTCACGAGTGGAGAAAAATAAAAAAGGAAGTAGATTAGAGATGGGACTCTACTTATTTCAAGGTAAATAATCCAGAAATACCATTTCTTGTGTGATCTCTGGATCAAAATCAGACCCCAAACTTCTCCAAGGGAATTTGAGTCTTGCAATTTATTCACGGCTCTCAAAGAAATGGGTGGCTGACCCTGTCTCCAATCAGCCTGCAAGTTCAGAAAGTATGTTCCTCCTCTAGATCTCAGTTTCCACATCTATAAAATGAGAATAGTCAATGGTATCACAGACTTTCTATGCAAGAGGCACTAAGGGAGGCACTCTGTGAAAGGAAGCTGACTAGGGAACTCATTTTAAATAGTGCTGCCCTTGAATCCAAAAACCAAACCTACTGCCATCAAGTCGATTGCGACTCATAGCGACCCCCATTGGGTTTCCAATGCTGTAAGTCTTTATGGAAGTAGATTGTCTCATTTTCCTCCTGCAAAGCAGCTGGTAGGTTTGATCTGCTGACCTTCTGGATAGCAGCCAAATGCCTTAACCATTGCACCACCACAACTCTTTGAATAGCACTTCCTATAAGACTGAGAAAATGTCAAGTGTGTATGATTAAGACAAAGGGGCTGGTGAGGATTATGAAGGGGTGAAGTGACTAGGGGTGGGAGTGTGGTGGTCTGCACTTGACAATGCCCAAGAGCTCTGCTAGCCTATTAAGCCTATTATTCTCTTGCTAAAACTCTCTCATGGCTACTTTTCTAAATCTCCTTTCTCTATGATGTACTTTGCTTGGTCTGTCTAAATTCTGGTAATATGGTATATAATAATAATAGTCACCTGCTGATAACACCAAGTCTCAGAGTTGGGGGGATACTAGTAACTCTATCCTTATTATGAGGATGAGATAACTTTGCCAGCAAGTAACCAAAATCTCTCTCATAGGAGACCCAGAGTGGCATTGGAGAGAAAATTATTCAGTTCCTCAAATCTGAAGTAAAAGTCTAAAACTTCTGCTTATACCCTGTCAGAAGAAGGCTTGCTCTTGTCCTGGCTATAATGACAACCACTTGGTAGAAAATAAATTGATATCTGTCACTTATATACATAGACTTATTGCCTAAACTCTGAATAAGTATATAAGTTAACCTGGACTCACAGAAACCCTGTAGAACTTAGAGATCACCAAGTTCAGAGGTTCTTGACCGAGTGTGACAGTTATTATGTCGGTTCATGGAAATTTGGATCTTTTCTTCCAGGGACATGAAGGATTGCACATAATGACTTTCTTGGTTAAAGAAATGTGAATTTCAATTGTATATGTCACTTCCAATTGGAAAGCCTTACAAGACAATATGTAATCTGCCACAATGCCTTTCACCTAAACCAATAACTAGTGATGCCATAGCTGGTACGCAGAATTTATCACCTTGGATCCCTGAGTGAGGAATCATGGAGCAGAACTTCTAATCCACAATGAAGATGTACCATGAACAAGATGAAAAGTTTGTTGTCATAAGTCTCTAAGACTTTTTGTTACTGCGGCATAACCTATACTACCTTAACTGGGGTCTGATAATCCTAGGTAACTACAAAATTTGGTGTGTATGTAATTATTCTATAGTTTTCTTCAGATTCTCAAGGAGGTCTATGATCTCCAGAATATCTAAATTCATACCCCCCTCTATTTAAAGATGAGGAACAGGAAAGCAGATCTTCTGACTAGCTCCCATTTCCAGGTATCTTGAATCCACAAGTGCAATGTAGGGCACAGAGCTGGTTGCTTCACTTTGAAACTGTTGCTCCTAAGAACTTTGCTGTCTGGGGTGGGAAAATGACATCCTTCCCATCGCCTTTCTCTCATGGAGTGCATGCCCATTATTCAAATCTTTCTTTCTTTTTTTTTTTTTTTCCTATCTTAAATTTAAGGCAAAATTAAATGTTAACTAGTTAACAAAATTATTAGTTAACTGGTTAAATGGGTTAATACATGCAGAGCATGTCACAAAGTGCATTAAATGCTCTATAAATGTTTACTGGTATCATGACATTGTATCATCCCCACAGCTCAAAGCAATCCTTCTCCATCCCACAGATGATCCACAAATTGTCTCTTTAGCCTTGTCTCCTTTTCTTTCTGATTTCTGCTCAATGTCTCAGGGAAAATATCTTACTTTTACCCCTGATCCCAATTTGTGAGAAATCTGTGGACCCTGTTTATATGAGCAGTATGGTGATCTACCATTGCCAAGGAAAACAAAAACTGTGAGTTTGAAAATAAAATAAGGATGAGTAATATAATCATCACCCTTAATGGCGAGAGCTCTTTGAAAGTATCCCCAAGTCCCTTCAGGATCACTGCACAATTTTCCATCTATCTCTTTTAATTAAACCTGCCTTATTGTTCAAGAATCAACTTCTAAGACCAATTTGATTTTTCTCGGGAAATAGATTCGTGAGCATGGTCCTCAGTAAAAATTTAGCCTTAGAGCTACTCAGATGAAAAGGCTTAAAATCAGAGTGATGGCTTGGGAAAATGGGCCTCCTGGGGCAGAAGTCCTGATGGGCCCCCAGGCTGTTCACCTCAGGACAAGGATGCTGCTTAGGTGATGCTGAATTGGCTGGAGCTTCAGAAATGCTTCGTGCTTGTATATCACATCACATACACAGAAATGCATGTACTGTGGGAGTTGGTGGGAGTTCTTCCAGATTACTGATTTAAACTGCGATTACAAAAGGGCAGTGGTATAGCAAGATGTGAGCTTTCAGATGTGGCAAGACCTTTGTTTATCCAGATAATTCAACAGGAATTCTGGAGGGTCAAGGAAAGCTGACATGAGATAAGCCACATCTGCTCCAACTCTGGCAACCATCTCATTTTTGATAAGATTTTGTATCTTTGCCTAATTGAACCAGGAACTTAATCTAACCATAATTTTGCACGTGTGTAGGTATGCACAAGGGGCCTTTGTGGTGCAGTGGTTAGCTCGGCTGCTAACTGAAAGGCTGGCAGTTTTAACCCATTAATCTCTCTGTGGGAGAAAGAAGTGGCAGTCTGCGTCCATAAAATTATAGCATTGGAAACCCTATGGGACAGTTCTACTCTGTCCTATAGGGCTGCTATGAGTCAGAATTGCTTTGAAGCCAACAGCTTTGACTTTTTTGAGTTTTTGTATACACCTACCATTGCCGAGGAGTTGATTCTAACTCACAGTGACTCTACAGGACAAAAGTAGAACTGTCCCAAAAGGCTTCCAAGACTGTAATCCTTACAGAAGCTGATTGCCATACCTTTCTCTCATGGAGCAGCTGGTGGATTTGAACCACTGACCTTTTGGTTAGGAGCTGCATGCTTAACCACTGTGCCACCATGTATCCTTACAGGTGTGTGTATGTGAGGGGGGTGTCATTTCTTTCCACCAATCCATAACCCACCTGAAACACTAAAATTTTATTGTTAATTTTCTGCTGCTTATTATTTCCACTGGGAGCTCTGGTAGCATAGTGCCTAAGGCACTTGACTGCTAACCAGGAGGCTGGCGGTTCAAATCTCCCTTGGAAGGAAGATGGGGCAATCTACCTCCGTAGTGATACTGCCTCAGAAACCCAAGGAGGGGTCGCTATGAGTCGGGTCTGACTCGACAGCACATAACAACAACAACAACAATTATTTCCACTAATTTTTTTTAATCTCAAAAAGTACTGGGGTTCATCCTATGATTTATAACATGGGCAAATAGCTTTCGAATTCCAAATTGACTTACACATGATTTTTTTTTTAACTTTTATTGTGGTGAAAACATACACACCAAGACACTCACCAACATAACAACTTCCACATTTACAGCTCACCATTATTGCTAACCTTTTACAAAATATTCTACCACCATCAGCATACACCCAATGCCCCACAAACAAAACTGTCCCATTTCCCCTTTTTCCCTCCCTCCTAAAACAAACAAACAAACAAACAAACAAACTCACTGCCATCAAGTTGGATCCAATTCATAGCGACCCCTCCTTGGTTTTCCAAGGTGGTATCACTACAGAAGTAGATTGCCCAACTTTCCTTCTGAGGAGTGGCTAGTGTGTTTGAACTGCCAGCCTTCTGCTTCTGGTTAGCAGTCAAATGCCTTAGGCACTACCTTTAATAATCTTTTACACACACACACACACACACATAAACAAAAAACACATTACCGTCGAGTTGGACCCGACTCATAGCGACCCCTCCTTGGGTTTCTGAGGCAGTATCACTGCA